TGAAAACTCCTTACCAAACCATTTCAAAACCGAATCAATATTTAAAATCATGATTACGTTAAATTATGTAGATTTTTCTCCAATTTTCAGGCTTTCAGCCGCCATATTGGATCAGCCATCTTGAATTTCAAAACGAGACACATGACTTTCGAAAGTACTAGTAAAGACTAATTTTTTGAGCTATCAAACGTCTTTGTAGGTCGCTTCAAATTTTGGGCAGACAAGTGATCCGGTTGACGTGAAACGTCCCATATATTGCGACGCTTTTTCCCCCGGTGTCGCAATCCGGTGGAAGGCTATCGAGGATTGGCGGCACGCGTAACTAATTCCGACACCAAAGTTGGGCGCCAGGTGCAACGGATTGCACCACCGTACACTATAATCTCTAACCCGATATTCCCGGCACTACTTCCGGGCGTAGGGCTCTTTCAGGGAATTCGGGGAGAGGCGTCACACAATTAATCCCACTCACAAGAAAATAAATAATAATAACGAAATATATATTTAGTCAGGCAGTATCAAGATGTATAATCGATCTGAGTCTCGTATTACCGCAACAATGCAGGCTAGGCGGACGCACGAATGCCGCAGACGCAATAAGTGCACGCAGTAATGTCGACTATGAAACACCGTAGACTAATGCACGCGAAGTTCTCAACGCAACAGATAAACGCAGACGGACACACGAAAGCTTAACAGAAATAATGACGATTCAGGTATCGCGGTACCTGGCTTCAACACAATGAACTTACGCCACGAGGCCGACGAACCGCTCGCCGCACCTTCGGCAGCTCCTTCAACGCACACCCGGGCCACTTCGATTCCGCGCGACGCAAAAAGTATGGGCGATCTCGCCGAGTCGACCACGCTGGCCGGCGATTGCCCCCGAACACGAAATAAGGACACGTATCGCGGACGATCCCGCGGCTTGCCACGCGAATCCCGAATTCTCTCGCGAGTACGGAGATTCCGCGGCCCCGCGCCGATCCCGTCGATCTTTCCGTCCCGCCAAACACAATATTCGCCGTCCTCGAGGGCCCGGATACGTTACTCAAATACGGGGGCGAGTGCCCTTCAAATTACATGACCACTCGCGGCTCGCCGTTACCCGCACAACTCGCTCCCGTTATTGCCACGCAAGACCTCACTCTCATTCTCACTCTCGTTAATATGGCCAAGACGCGACACGATGATGAGCTTAAATATGGCCAAAACGCGACACGATTACGAATAAACTTTATCACAATGAAACGCGGCACAATCACGAATAACGCGATACGATTACTTACTCACGAATAACGCGATACGACTACCTACATCAATTCGACGAAACGCTACATAAATGCGACACGATTACTTCGATTCACACATCTCCACGCCACGCGACTGTCGGCCGTGGCGATGCTCGCGGGGAGGGCGCAAATGGTCTCTAAGCATTAGAGAGCTCACTCTCGGCAAGGCCCTGGCACATTTTCCACACGACTCTACTTTAAGGCGAGCGCAAGGTATCGCACGCTCTAAAGGCTCGTCTACACGACAAGGCATAAAAGCGCGGCGCAAGGGCGCAGGCACAAACTCAAGCGTAGGCGCAAGATGTCTGCGCCATGCTCGTCTACACAGGAACACGCCTCATTATAACTTTCTTCCATGTTTTCAACGTTCACACTATATAGAGGTAAAGCCGGCGATGATACTTCTTCTTCTGGCACAAAAGTTTCTTCACGGATAGCATCGGCCATCCGGCGATGATACGTGAGCGACCCAAGCCGTTAATTTAATCTACAAAACAGTCGGCGTAACGTGGGCGCAGGCGTTGGAAATAAAAATAATTTATTTCTCCTGCGCCGTTGCGCCGCGCCGCTACGATCAAGAACAAACTTCTTGCGCCTGCGTCTGCGCCCTTACGCCGTCTTACGCCTTATCGTGTAGACGAGCCTCTCGGTACACAGGTATCCTGCGTAACTCCGGTAACCAACGTGTGCCACGGGCCGATGCTTCGAGCGAACCCTCTTCTTCTCTTAACGCGGGGACGCCATAGTGGTGACCTTACAATGCGTCGTCCCTTCGGTAGTCCGGGCAGCTCGAAATCCGGGAGATCCTCTAGGCTCGCTAGCCGGCACGACAGTATCGGAATCGGAAACGATAGCCTGCCGGGATCGCGCCGGTTCCCCGCGCCTGCGCTGTGGCGTGTCGCTCGACCGGATTGCCGATCCTAGCGCTTCCTGCGCCTAGGCCGCACGTGCGCCGCTCCTTCCGGGGGCGCCACTCCATTCCAGGGCGCTCTCGTCGGCGCCTCAGCTTCTCGCGCGCCTCCTTTTCCGGCGCCGCTGCGACAAAAATTACTAAAATAATTATTAGATGGATCTTTTTTTGTACGCATTGAATCTTACTTCTATTTATGCGATATTATTCCTACATGTTTTCCCAAGGGTGGATGATAAACATTATGTACGTATAAACAGTAGAATTTTTGTTTTAAGCAAATATTTTCGTCAGGTGACAGCTGTGTATGTGCCCCAATAAGTAATATTTTTAATTTTTTGGTGCTTTTGATATAAAATCGCGTTTTGCACCCTAGATTTTTGTGCGCGGACTTTAATTCTGTAAAAGATTTTTGCAATTCTATAAAGCCAATTAAAAGATCTAATAACGATAATGTCGGTAAATCATATACGGCTGCAGGATCCTCTTAAATATACGTAATTTATTAATCTCTATACTTCTGTCTTTAATAAAAAACAAAAACGTATTATTAGAAACTTTACATCGAAAATAAAATTAAATATATTCCATCTTTCTTTTAAAAACTCCTCTATTTGAATTTCGTCTTTTGTTGCTTTACACTGTCAGAACATGCATTATATTATATTATATTATATTATATTATATATGTCCTCTACTCCATCTCTGCATATTTTATAATTCCTTTCTCCATCCTTTCCTTAATGCTGGTATCTTCTCATTTCGTTCCTGCCTCTATATGTGTAGTTATCAATCTTCTGTCATTTTTTTTTGTCTCCCATATTTATAACAATGGATTTGATTCGATTTAACGCTTTTTTAAGAGTAAATTATACATTAACACATGTACATACATTGTCTGTTATTTAAAATTAATTATAATGATAACATGATATAATATGTATTATTGTATATATTATTATTTTAGTTGATTACATAAATATATATTAATATCTATTTATTAATATCAATAATAAGTTGATATATATATATATATATATATATATATTAAAAAATATAATAAATGTAACATGAAAATTGACGAAGAAGTGTGTCATCTCTTTAGAGGAAAGACTACAAGTTCTCGTCCGATCACTTAAGTCAAGCAACGTTGAGCGCGGTTCTTAAATACCCGACCGTTTGGGAACTCCGCGTACTGTTGGCACTTTTTTTTGAAAATCACTTATTTTATGTGCCTGAAAGTTATTTATTTTATATCTTACTTATACATTATCTATTATATAAAATTAATAAAAATGATAACATGTGATATCTCTATATATAATTGTATATATTAGATATTATTTTAGTTAATTACATAAATATATTAATATCTATTTATTAATAATAAATTGATATATTTATTTAGAAAAAATGAAAATTTAAAGCTTGATTCAAGTTTGGATTATAATATTAATAATAATAATATTTGGTTAGATCGCTTCATTGCCTTTCTATCATCAGCTATATATTTAACTTAATATTATACACAGTTGGTTACGTATCGATCACCGGTAACTGACGCGACAATCAACGTGTTAAACACGAGATAACATAAATTTTTAAACCAGTAACTGATAAAAAATAATGTATGTACGTATGTAACGAGTGGAACGACTGGGACGTAAAGTTAATCTGTCAGAAATAGACAAATTTGACGTGATTGTTTTAATATAAATTATAACACATTAAGCATGAGATATATTAATATACATAATATAAATATATATATACATAATATAAATTTGAATATTTTTGAAATATTTACCTTCCTCCCTCCCTCCCTCCCTCCCTCTCTCTCTCTCTCTCTCTTTCTTTTTACTTTCTCTTAAACAGATTTTTCTCGTCTTCTTCCTCTCTTATTCGTCTTCTTTAACTTTATATTAATGATACCCTCATCACGAAAAATAACAGAATTCATATTATATGGACGAATGCTATCACCGCGTTTTCATTATCGACGTCAAAATTTATATACGTACCTTTCTATACGGGCGTAATCTTCTAATCCGACATTCGGTCAAACTGTCAAAAGCACGGTCGGTATTCACGACCGTGGTCATCAAAAGTAAACCTCGCGCGCGCGATGACATGCGAAGCAAGTCGTGCACACAAGCAAGATAATCAGTCAGCATCCCGAAAAAGAGGCTTCAAGACTTCGATACATTCGAGTTCGAGATTTCATGCCTTCTTTAGAAGAAGAGGATTTTATTTTTCTTTTTATCATTCGTGCTCATTCTGGTTTTCCGCTTCTTCCTTTACAACATCTGCTGAGAGGGCGTTAGATTTTCAAGGCGTCAGATTTTCAAGCTATGCGACTCGTACGACTGGCAGATCTTTAATAATATTCACTCGATGCTTGAGTGAGCGAATGAATGAATCGTCGTCACGCATATGTGTGGCCGTATTGTCCTCGGTTAGAGGCAGGAGCCAACGAAATTAAAGAAGAAGAAGTCGTCACGCATATCAATTATGTTTGGAATTTTTGGGAATTGAGTGCTGGTCTTTCTGAAGAAGATATCTATTATGTATTGTTAAAAAATCTGTTTATTTATTATAATAAACTGAAGAAATGGTAATTTCTTAGGAATATTACTCATGAATTACAGAAATGGGTTTGATTCATCGTAGGAAAATTGAATAGGATGTAAATGAACAACTCGGAACGAGAATGTTGACGTATGTATATGTACACGATGCACGTGTAAAAGACGAGATATACTAAAAACTAAATGCTTGCAAAAACGAGTTAACTTATAAATACGAGTTAACTTTTATAAATTCATGAAAAAAGAGAAAGAAAGGCTGTTTCATCTCTGCTCCGAAGGAAGAATTATGTCATTCGCAAAAATTAAATTCGGAGCATTTTTATAAATATTATGTATTTTCATGTGTAACGAAACTTGAAGTTATCTGATATGATTGACATAGACATAGACATGTTTTACATCATACCTCCAAATGGTGAGATACCACTTTATGTTTTGGAAGATTGTATTTTGACCAGATTAGATTATTTAAGGCTTCTGAGTGAAAAATCTGCTAATGGATTTGATGGGAAATTTGAATATTTATTAGAAAATTCTGCTTACGATAAAATTGGACACTTTGTATTACGGTAAGCACATGTTACAATTTTGTATATCAATCTTTAATATTAAATACAATATGACTTGAATATTTAAATGATGATAAGTAATATTAGTAAGAGTAATAGTAATATACAATGAAGAAAAATTCGTGTGTCCTAAATAATAGAATTGAACAACTGTCAGAATTGTAAAAATATTGTATATTTCTAATTAATTAACGATTGTCACTTTTTGTTTTAGATTATTAGCTTCCACGTCGTCAGATTTATGTACGTATTGGATAGCCAAAGAATCATTGTTATTTAAGCATAGATTAGATAATATATCGCCTAGACAATTACATAAATTATTGAAGCAAATTATATGGAAGCTGCAAGTGTTTAAAGACAAGAAAAATGCAATTGACACAACTTTGATTGAGTTATGCAAATTTTATTCGCAACCCTTAGTTTTCAAACATCTTGTGTCAAACTGTCACGATTGCAATGACTTTCAATACAAAGGTATGTACGAGTACAGAGTATCACTTGCATACAGGAGATTTTCAAATAAGCTAACTAATATTTTTTATTTCACATTTCAGTGAGATTCAAAATAGTACCGGACTTGGTGAAAGAAAGAGAACTAGTCCTTAATAATGGAAATATTATCACGTACTGTTCAAATTGGAAAAAAGTGCTTCAATCATTATTTAGTAATTATGTAACTAGTGAAATGAGTATCATGAAGAGACAGGCGCAATACACCGTAAAATATGACCTTAGATTCCACATTTTGAATAAGAAAATTCAATCTTATCTCTTCGAAGAGGGCATTGCTCATGGAAAAGTAACTGTTAATAACATAGAGACGGAAGCACAGAAATTCCCATTGTGCATGCAACATTTGCATTCTCTACTAAGAAGTAGACATCGACTCAGTCACTACGCGCGCTTATACTACAGCCTTTTTCTGAAAGAAATAGGAATGACGTTGGAAGATTCAATTGTATTTTGGAGGCAGGAATATTCCAAGCCACACACTTGCACTTCAGTATGCTCGCATAATTGGCAATCCAACGAAAAGAAATTCATATACAGTATCAGACATATGTACGGTTTGGAGGGATCACGGAGAAATTATAAGACACCTGACTGCAATCTGATTTGCGTAAGTATAAAAATTTTCACACACGCATAAGAAATTCTTTTATAATTTTATACAAACTTCACCATTAGAGCTATTTTTCTCAAACATCGAAACTGTTGTAGACTGGTATTAGTGGAGCAACGTACGAGGGTGGTTGTCCTTTCAAGGATTTTGATATGAGTGCACTCAGAAATCTTTTACGAGCTTCATTAACTGAAGGCGAAATTGAGAAATTTGTAAATAATATATCTATTAAAGATCCAGAAGTTCTCTGCACTGCATTTCTGAAACTTGTACGCAAAGACGACGTTAACGATGTCACTATCAAAAGTCCGGTACAATACTACCAAAGAATGGCTGATTAATATAGATTTTAATTTTCCTATATTGAAAAATTTATATAACAATTTATACTGTCTATCCTTGTCAGTATTTATTATTGTTTAATCCATGTTGTTGAAGAACATCCTATCAATAAATTTTTGTATATGTTACGAAACAGAGTTATAAATTAACATAGACAAATTATACTAATATTTATACGATTATTGCTTGCTGAATAATCGCAAAGCATCTTCTACAACACGATGATTCACACCGTCTCCAACTAACACAGCATATACCCCAAGTTTACCAACTTCCATGATATTTCTGGCCTCATCGTCAAAAAATAACATATCTTTATAATCAATATGAGAATTTTTATGAATGCTGAAAACAATTCAGTTAAGTTATAGCTTTAAGCTTTAAGCTATTGTGTACAACACGATTTTTTATGCGTTTTATACGAGACTTACTCAGAAAAATGTGTGATTTTGCTACCAGGAAATATTTCAACGTACTTAAAGTACCTCTTCCAGCCAAATAGATCTAATAATTGTTTAGCTCCCTTTATTTCTGATGTACGTGACGCCACGCCGAGTTCATATCCTTCTCCTGACAATTGTTTCAATACATCAGGTACATCAGAGTAGTGACGTACGATACGACCATGTGCGTCTACTACTTTATTTTGTGCACTGAAATTTTCTTTATATAAGTCTGATAAAAATTCTTAAAATACATTATTTTATTAGTTTTTTGTATTATTTTATTATTTTTTTAATGCACGCACCCTTTTCTAAACGGCGGATCTACATGAGTATCAACCCAAAACGGCCACAAGGTGTAATCTGAAATTCAATTGCTCTTTCCATTTTTCCAGAAATCACACTCTGAATAATTTTTATTGCAACAGAAAGAAAAGAATATTTTTGGGGATTTGTTAAGGTTATTCTACATAGAAGTTGTAGTCGTGAGTTGTAAGAAATTGA